TTCTTTTTGATTCTGGTTCACAGCGTTCTTACATTTTAAAGGACTTGGCTGAAAAAATGAATTACGAAAGCTTAGGAGAAGAAACAATCATACACTCTCTTTTTGGTAATGTAAAATCTGGTGAAGTAATTCATAACAGACATCGTGTGTTTCTAACCAGTCAAGATTACAGTTACAACTGCAACTTTGAGGTATTGAGTCAAACTACCATATGTGGGGAAATTCCACCTGTTACCGAAGGTCCCTGGATACAGGAACTTTTAGAGAAAAATGTTTCTCTGACTGACATACATGAGACTAAGCTACCAATTGGTATTTTGATTGGAGCGGATATAGCGGGTAAGCTATTCACGGGAAATGTGATTCAACTGAAATCTGGACTAGTGGCTATGGAAACTCTTCTGGGATGGACACTGATGGGTAAGGCTATAATTAGTGGTAGTACAGGTTCAACTACACTCTCCACTGTTGTAACATCAATGTTTATTAATGATGCTGACATATCGGAACTGTGGAGATTAGACACTATAGGCATTACTGATACAAGTGAATCAGTTTCCAAAGAGCAAAAGGCTTTGGCAGTTAAAAATCATTTTATAAAAACTACCACTATAAATGAAGAAGGTCGATATGAAGTGAGTTTGCCCTGGGTTGATTGTCATCCTCCTTTGCCTAGTAACAGAGAGTTAGCCGAAAAGAGGTTATCAACAGTTGTAAAGAAATTGGATGGTAACAATTTAACTGAAGACTATGACTCAGTTTTTAAACAGTGGTTAAGTGATGGCATCATTGAAGCTGTACCTTCTGACGATTTGAACAACAACTTTCACTACCTGCCACATAGACCTGTAGTGAAGGAGAGTAGTATTACCACACGAATTCGTCCAGTGTTTGATGCATCAGCAAAGACCAAGTTTTCACCCTCATTGAACGACTGTATTGAAAATGGACCAAATTTAATCGAACTGATTCCTTCTGTTATGATGCGTTTTAGGGAAGGGAAGTTTGGAGTTATTGCTGATATAGCAAAAGCCTTCTTACAGATATCGTTAAATGTACAAGATAGAGATTTTCTTCGGTTTTTATGGTTTGACATCAATGAAAGAAGCCGAAGTATTGTTTACCGCCATAAAAGAGTTGTTTTTGGAGTGAAATGTAGTCCATTTCTTCTAGGGGCAGTAATTGATCTGCATCTTCAAAAATCTATGACTTCTCAGGAGTATGATGATAATGTGGTAAAGAAGCTGAGTAAAAGTTTTTACGTGGACAATGTTTCGACCAGTGTAGATACTTATGAGGAACTAAAACACTTTGTTGAAGAATCGAAACAAGTTATGGCTGCCGCTAAGTTTGATTTAAGAGGATGGCATGCCACGAGCGTCATTGAAGAAGGAGATAACAAGTTCGTCACTAATGTTTTGGGAGTTCAATGGAACTATTTTGAGGACGTTCTGTTTTTTAACCTGACGAACTGTATTAAAGATTTGGACGTGTCTCGAATCACGAAGAGAGACATTTTATCCATATCTCACAAGATCTTTGATCCAATTGGTATCCTTTGCCCTGTTACTTTGTTTCCTAAACTTCTTCTGCAAAGTATGTGGGACTTGAAAATTGACTGGGACACTGAAGTAAGTTCAGACATCAGTAAACGATTCATACTGTGGTATAATGAGTTAAGCGCTCTTGAAAAAGTGAAAATACCCCGATGGATAGGTAAAATGACTACGGATTCAAATGGTTGTAGTATTCATACATTTTGCGACGCAAGTAAAGATGCCTATGCTACAGTTATTTATTTGAGAGTTGAAATTGAAGATGAAGTAAGAGTCCAATTATTGTCTGCAAAATCAAGAGTTGCTCCTCTGAAGAAAACCACAATTCCAAGATTGGAATTATTAGCCGCCACGGTGGGAGCACGTCTCACAAGCTGGACTAAAAATCAAAGTTCCACAAAAGGTTCATGTTTGAGTAGTAATACTACTCGGTGGGAGGATGTTATATTTCCTAGTCTGTTGATATGATGCATATTTACTTTTGACTAATTTAAATTGTCATATGGTTTTGTTTTGTTGTTGTCATAATAGTTTTATATGAGTTGTTGAAAATAGAAGTGTGGTCTTAAAAAGTCTAGTTTTTTCTAATTTTATCTGTATAGTTTTCATCAATTGAAGAAGGTAGGTATGTAGTGTAACACAACAGTAGCTATTACCGTAGGTCTCATGCAGAGGTGCCCATCCCCCCCAAACCCAGAGGCGCAATCCCCCCCCCCCCAAGCCAAAGGAGTAGTCCCCCCCCCAATTTATGCTGCCGTCTATTTAAACCTTTCCTCCCCTCACCAATTTACAATTTTCCCTTTACCTCATAAAACAAGCATTTAGTAAACTTGAGGTACGAAAAACAAACTTGCTGATAATCAAAATTAAATGTTTAATATGAAACGTCATTTAACAATACATCAATATAAATCTAACTAATGGACGAATTAGAAGTTTTTCAATTTACAATTCAGAATCTGTATTGTCAGCCAATATGTGTGCTCAGTATTGCAATTGCAATAGACAACGTCTTCAAAACGTACAACAATATAGGGCTACTCGGTGAATTACTCTACTCCAACACAGTACTGTAACTGTACAATATATTAGGTGGCGTTAATTTTTACAGGGCTTAAGAATTCAAACAGCTTTAAGTGCATTAATAATACTTTGGCAAAAAGTATATTGTTTCAAAATTATAGGCAGAGTCACGAAATAAGACAGACTTGTTGCTCGCCACTCCCAGGCTGCCTTCTACAAAAATCGCCGGGCAAAATACCCACAGTATCTCTTAATAATTGCCACCAGTACAAAAGGTTTTTGTGACGAAGTAATCTTATAATTCATTTTGATAGCCCCAGGATTGTCTTTTATGACTAATAATGGTAGAAACGCATCTTGTCAGACAATCCGTTTGTACACAAAACACGAAACGATAACAGATAGGCCTATCAATTCACGCGTGTATATATTGCCGCGGGCAGGACTGGAAGTAAACTGAATCAGGTAATGACGGAAAGACGTGGTCTCTGGATTGGTGTTTGTGTTATCATAAGCTGAAATTGGACTAATTCTAGTGACGGAGGAGAGTGTTGAAAATATAATGGGATTCATAATTGATTTTTCCATTCAAAATTATTGACAATAATAACCAATGCTGGATGGTCTCGACATTCTACATTACTGCAGAAAAGGAAATTTATTAAATACTTTGAGGAGTTTGAAATATACATAAAACTATTGACAGCACATTATAATTATGAATCCCATTATATTTTCAATAATCTTCTCAGTCACTACAATAGTCCAATATCAGCTGTCGAAAACGCAGACCACAATCCAGAGACCACGTCGGTCCGTCATAACCTGAACCTGATTCAGTTTACTTTACTTACTTCCAGTCCTGCCGACGGCAATGGACGAATTGACAGGCCTATCTGTAATCGTTGCGTGTTTTGTATTAAATGTTTGTCGTATTCTGACGACACCTCCAGAAGTGGATCTTTTTTAAATCCTGACGATGGTGGAGTTAAAGAACCACCAAAACATATGTAGCAAGTAACATTCGACACTGGTATATTAAGGATTGTCTGGAAAGGTCCGTTTTTTACCATTCTTAGAAGCTATCTTTATTACGAACGGCATAGAAGCTATCTTTATTACGAACGGCAAAATGTTGTTGGTGGTGATAGTGAGCTACTTAGAAACACTTTTTCGGGCTGCTTATACAAAATTATACATTCATTATGACAGCTAGCAAAAAAATATCCCCCCCAAAATTTCCTTGCGCCACAGTACCCCCCCTCTGGGCACCCCTGGTCTCATGGTAAGACCTAGGCCCGGGACCGATTTACTTTCTCATTTTGATGTGCCCAGAGGCCAAAAACACCATTCGTTCAAATTTTTATATACGACGGTTCAAAAATAGACACCATTTTCCAAAATGGCAGGGAAATTTAAAAATGGCCATAACATACACAGTTTTTCCATTTCTTAAAAAAAATTTTTTACTTGACAAAATTTTTTTAAATAAAAAATCCAAGGCAGTTACAATTTAACATTTTGTTATATCTCTTATAACTTTTTGATAAAATAGCGGGTACACTTATATCAATCACCCTGTAGGCAGTCTGCAGCTATTGTAACCTTTTTATTGATTTGATTAAGTTTTGAGTCTGCGAGAGAAAAGTAGGCCTAAACCTCTAAGCTAATCAACAATCACACGACTATATAATGCCTAATGGGTACATTTCAGAGCACATATCTTCCATAATTTACAATGTCTAAAATTGTTAGGTGTTGACAGACGTGGTAATGCAACAATTAAGTTAAGATGATTTAATTACTTGCCTTTAAAATCCAATAAAAAAAATAGGTGTTGTTTCAAGGATTGGAAAATAAAAGTTAAACTTAATCATATTACAAATGAGCCTATGTAATTTGTAAATAAGTGTAATAAAAAACTACCTAACCTATAAAACCTATAAAACTGAAACAAAACGCTTGAATTCATGAATAAATAACTAATTTATACAATTTTATTGCTTATTATTAATAGGTACCAGATTTCATTTTCTAAATGCTTAAGAGAAATGTATAGAGAAGTTCATTTTTCACCCCTACTTGCCAGGGAGGGTGTCCCCCCCCGAACCCCCCGGTATCACCCCCCCCTCTTGACAAAGGTCTATCTACATTACTGCTTTCTTTTAGTTCAGGGGGGACCAAAACACTCAGATATTCCCACCCAAAACTCAAAATCTAAAATTTTGAAGGAAATAATACTTCAAATCATGGACCATTCACTTCAAAAATAAATATTTACCCCTACCACTTTATTATACAACATGAGCATATTTCAATAGATTTTAACTTATTTGAAAAACGGCTTCTCAACTGTAATTTTTGATTTAATTGATTCTAATAAATTCATATTAAATTAACCTTATATCACTCTCATTACAGGTGCGCACAATCATTCCTTCTATAGACACTGTGTTCCCTGAAGCCGATTGGTTGATAGGCAACCATTCTGATGAACTTACTGTTTGGATACCTGTGATGGCTGCTCGAAGCTCTTACACCTGCAACTTCTTTTTACTCCCTTGCTGCCCCTATGAGTTTGATGGAAGGAAATATTGTCGAACCAACACCTCGGTTAGTCAGTATAGTGACTTTCTCTCTTATGTGGAAAAAGTGTGCGAGGAGTGTGGAATCATTACCGAAAAAGACAAACTGAGAATACCTTCAACAAAGCGCTTGTGTTTCATAGGTACAAAAAGAACCTATTCACCTAATGAATGGAAGGCACATCTTGAGCGGCTGCAATCTTATGTTGATAGTAAATGTTGTTTTATAAAGCAAGAACATGACCAAACAGGGGAATCCGCCACCTTAAAGTTCAAACCGAGGGGCGAGGAAAGGGTACGTAACTGTACTCAAATTCAGCCTGACATAAGAGAAAGCATTGTGAGGCTTGTTGTTGAGCAGTTGCTGGCAAAGAGGAAATCTTGTGAAGGAAGTTGGACCTATGGCGGTGATGTAGAAATCAGTACACTTGCCAAAATTATTCCCTTAGACCTTTTAAAGAAACTAAAAAGTGAATGTGGTGGTTTACAAACACTTTTGAAAAACCATCATTATATCTTTAAGGTTGAAAATGGAAAAGTGGGGTTCAGAGTCCCTTCTGTTAAATCAAAAGATAATTCTCCTGTGTGGAAGAAGAAATCTTGTTGGTTTTATCACAATCATCCTAACTCTTGCCCTTTATCAGTTGACGCTTGTTCTTTTATACATTAAAAATTATATGTATTGTGTTATTAATGTGTATTTTGTGACAAATGTTCATCCAATAAATCCAAAATTTACAACACTCAAGTAATAGAATAACATAGCATGTTATATAAACAATTAATAAACATAACATAGTAATCACCACTATACATTATTAAAACTTAAGGTTTTACATTTTTCAGTTTTAAAATAGTTGTCTTCAAACTAGTATTTTCACGCAACAAGATTTTTATTTTCTGCTTGTTCATATACCTCTTGTTTTCCATATCAGTCACTGGGTCTCCTGTAACTAAACATGAACATGCTTAGTGTTTTTAATTTGATCTTAACCCTTTGAGTGCCAATGTCCGGGGAACCGGACGTTTTTAAAACGAGCCAAAAGTGCCAACGTCCGGCCGACCGGACGTTTTTAGAACGAGCCAAAAGTGCCAACGTCCGGCTGACCGGACGTTTCGTATTGATCGAACAGTTGTCATAACAACCGAATGGATACTCGGATTCTTTTAATCCATATATTAACATTGAGTCGAAAGTTACTAGATGCGATACATCGATTTTCGTTGGTCGAAATATCGAAAATTCGATTTTTACAAAATTTTAACCTAAAAATCGCCAGATCGCGCTCGGCATTTTTAGCGCGACCTTTGGGAAAAATCATCGGCATTTTTTGAGCGTTACTTTTATTTCTCGCCTGGCACTCTAAGGGTTAAAAGTTCCAATTTTATCCGTACTCTAACCCTGAGATGCTGAAATGTGTGCAGCAGATGACATTGAATGCCACCACCACCTGTTAGTCTACTGAGACAGTTGATAAAAAATACATCACATTAACAGTTGGTGTCAGTTTATAATATATGATGTTGGGAGGGGCAAACATTGTTTTAGTATTTTTGACTCTACTGTACAGAGATTGTTTAGGTAATTTCCTATATAGAGAATAAGCTATTACTGTAGGTAGGTATCAATCGTTGGGATGGGGACGCCACCTAGGTGCGTATTTTAACCCTAATATGAGTGAAGGATGAGCAGTGTTGGGGAAGCTACTTTTAAAATGTAGCTAGCTACAACTACTGCTAAATTTCCAAAAAAGTAGCTTAGCTACAGCTACAGCTACAGTTCCGCAAAAGTAGCTAGCTACAACTACAGCTACATTGAAATGTAGCTACAGCTACAATTTTAGCTACTTTTTCAAAGACGTTACTTTTTATTCCACGCACATTAGGTAAATGTAAAATTAATTGCAACTACATTTTTACTGAACAAACATTAAAAAAATGTCAGTAAGTATTGTATCTAACATTAATTGGAAAACAAATTATTCCTAGATTGTATTTAATTTTTTGGCATTATAAACCTAACATTACAACAAAATAACCAAATAGTTCGGTGTCCCATCATATTTAGTACTTATTTTTAAATATTGCATTATTTTTAAGCATCTTAAATGTAAATTTCATTAAGTTCAAAGGACATACAACCAAACTATATTTTAAAAGCTCATTTTATTTCTTTAATATAGATTCATTCATAGATGTCTTATATCAACAATTAAGACCAATAAAACTGTAAAACGATTATTTAAAAATACTTTTTTGTGTTACAGAGCCTAGCCTACTGAAATTGGAGTTTATTGCCTTTCTTTTAATGTTAAAAACGACATTGCTATAATCTTTTAAGTGATAAGTTACTTGTACTATGAATAACACTTTTCAATGTCAAGAAATCGTCCTTTATTGTCATTATGCATAGGGCAAATTGTGCTTCAACCTAGTTGGTACAGAAAACAGTATCCAGTAACTTATCCTGAAATCGGCTTTTAATTTAAACATGTTGAAATTTGTAAAGTAAAAATAACATGTAGGCCTACTTGGCTATGTAACAAGTTGGCTATAGTAGGCTTGTTCTTGCAAGGACTAAACAGATATATTCCTAATAATTGAACTTGGGACTTGGTATTCGTCTTAAACCATAGCATAGCCTAGGAATTAATAGTCCTATACAAGAGCTGTTACCAGGAGCAAACTATGCTATTTTTTTCAATGTAAGTTTCATGTTATATGGAGATTTTTTTGTTACAATTATCATTTAGTCTATACATATCTTAAATCACATCAGGTAATTTCCTCTTTGTTAATTTAGTAAACCTTTGAAAAATCTTCGTAATCCATCCAAGGAAGGGCTTGTGACGATGAACCACAATCAACAGCTGAAGCAAAGGTTGATAGACCAGATTTCTCATTATTTTAAGGTTTAGTGTTGGTTTCCATTAAAATCCAAGTTGAAACACTATCGGTATAATAAACAAACTAAATTGATTACTAATTTCCCTGTCAATCACTTGCAAGCATTCAATAGCTTCTCTTGTCACCGGTAACGTTTAAACGTCGTCTGCATCTAGCAATTTTATTTTATCTGACAGTAATCATAGAGTAGTAAATTAAGGAAATGAGAGCCAAAAATGTAGATAACACTCATTTAATGGCCTCCATGTCCACACAACGTTGTAATAGGGAAGGAAACGGCTGCAACCAGCTGTATGAAGCCAAGAAAGTAAGGCCTAATTTTTTTTTTAAATCTCAGTTTGAAAGAGGTTGTTTCACGTAAGGTTGAGGTTATGATAAAAATCACTATCTCAAACAATGATAATGTAGCGAGAAAAGTAGCTAAAATTCCGCTACAACTACTTTAAAAATGTAGCTAGCTACAGCTAAAGCTACAAAATCTTAAAAGTAGCGTAACTACAGCTAACGCTACAAAAAAAGTAGCGCGCTACTGTAGCGTCGCTACTTGTAGCGCGCTACTTCCCAACACTGAGGATGAGTGTAGAATGGTGTGTGATGACATGTGTAGCTTTGTTACTAAGATCAGCGGTTTCATTAGTCAGGATCATTTATTTAATGCCCAATGATCAGGAACAGCTGGGTCCAGTTTGGAACCATCAAAAAGCTAACGACTTTTCTCAGGATCGAACCGGCGACCTTTTGATTACGAGGCGAGCACTATAACCACTCAGCTACCCATCCATTGATGTTAACAGTGCCTTACAGTGAGGCACACAAAAACAGTGACAATAGTTCCTGGGGGGAGGGCTATCCATAACTGACCCCTACCTATGTGAATGTAATTTATGCTATTTCTTTTCTCATAAATACCTGACTTGTATATAAATGTAATGCTGATTGGTTAATAAGTTATGAAAAAATTTATAAGTGACCATTAACTTATGCATCACCTGTTTTAAATTTTACTTTGATATGTTTTATTAGTAAACAAAGCTAACTCAAATTCTTTCAAAATCCCTGACATGGGTACCTATCTTTAAGACGGTCCCAGGCTAATCATGGTAAGACCTGGACCCAGGACGGATTAACTTTTTCGTTTTGATGTCCCCAGAGCCCAAAAACACCATCCGTTAAGATTAATATTTATAGATACTTATATTTATTTAATTTATAAAAGTATCCGTTATCATGATAACATGAGCAAATCATTCAATTTTGATGAAATTTGGTACAATCGAGTTCACGAACTAGCATGATCGGACCATGCTAGTTCCATTTCAGGTGTTTTATGGGGGATTTTATGGGAATATAAATTGTTTTTTTTTTTAATTTATATTGAAGTGTTTTTTTATATTGATTAGGGAGAAAATCAAAATAAATTTCAATTAAAAATTCCATGTTATTCTTAGGGAGAATAAATAAACTGTTGTAATTTGCTTACTGTTTATGGCATATACAGGGTGGTAAAAAAGTCCCTGGACAGTTAAATATTTTAAAAAATAATGAAGATAGAGCTACAATACTTGGTACAAAGTTACAGGGCATAAAACTCTATTTTAACACATATTCAGTGATCCAATAACTCTTCAGGGGGACGGCCCACAAGGAGTCGGAAGAAAATCTTAAATGGAAGCATAGGTCAATATGCACATCAAATTAAAGGTCTTTTTTAGTAGAATACAATGCCGCAAACCGCACTTCAAAAGGTTGATCCTGCGCAAAATGACAGTTGTTCAAAGATTCATTTAATTTACATTGCTATTATACGCTTACTCCTCAGGGGGCACAGCCCTAGGAATCGGAAGAAAATTGTTAACGTAAAAATAGGTCGATATGCACATCAAATTAAAGGTCTTCACTTGTAGATTACGATGCCGTAAATTCAAGCTCAAAAAAATGCCTGAGTAAAAAATGGCAGTCGTTCAAAGATTCAAAATGGCGGATTCAAGAAATCTTTGAACATCTGCCATTTTGCGCTGGATCAACCTTTTGAAGTGCGGTTTGCGGCATTGTATTCTACTAAAAAAGACCTTTAATTTGATGTGCATATTGACCTATGCTTCCATTTAAGATTTTCTTCCGACTCCTTGTGGGCCGTCCCCCTGAAGAGTTATTGGATCACTGAATATGTGTTAAAATAGAGTTTTATGCCCTGTAACTTTGTACCAAGTATTGTAGCTCTATTTTCATTATTTTTTAAAATAATTAACTGTCCAGGGACTTTTTTACCACCCTGTATGTTGATCAAACATGGCCAATTTCTTTATTTTATACTAAGCTACTAGCAACAGTACCCATTGTGATTAAATACAACGGTCTCTAGTAAAATAATGGTTATAAAATCCATACACCACTTTACTCACTAATATTAATGGTACAGTTTGAGCACATAACATTAGAATCACACACTTAACATAATGAAAACACTATAAACTTTAAATACAAATGCAAATTGTTAACAACAATATTTAATCAAAGAAAAATTAATTAGATAACAATATAACAATAAGCTGTTGAATTATTAACACATGTTTCGTATGATTAGATTATGCATAACGGTAAACCAATTATTACCATCTATAAAAATAATTGGTTTTTCTTTTCCGAGTCGGGTTAGCTCTTCTATCCGACCGATTTTCATAATTTTGGCCTTAAACTAAAGGTATGAACGTATCGCAGATATGCCATCAAGCATCGACATTCATTTTGACGTATATTTCGAGTTAAGCACAAACTGCCTCACTGTACATTTCTTATGGGAGTTAAATTTGGTTTTTTTCGAGTTCAATGTTTCGCAGGCGCGATGGTTTACAGGAGGGCTCTTCTACCCACCCGATTTTCATAATTTTGGTCTTAAAATAAAGATATGCAAGCACATATTTGTCATCAAGCATCACCATTAATTTATTGAGCGGAGCGAGCGAAGCGAGCGTAGCTCTTTGGGATCAACTTCAATGCAACAAATAAAGCAACATCACTCAATAACGGCAGAACACATTTCAGCTAA